TGCCTTACTAGTAGTAACAAGAAGCTACTAGGAACAAGTGCCACGCTAGTAGTAACAAGTGCCTTACTAGTAGTAACAAGAAGCTACTAGTAACAAGTGCCTTACTAGTACCAGATATGGTCCATGACACGTCCATACCAGAGACCTGTGACACTGCCGAGAGTGTCGTTCAGCAGCTGTTTTCCATGCCAGTGACACGGCGGCGGGGGAAGTGAATGTATAACTTCGGACATCCATCCAGCGGTGTTTGAGGACATCTTCCCAGCATGGGAGTGAAGGGCACCGTGCCAGCCCAAGCATCCCTTGCTAACTTGGCAGATTCCAGATCGCAAATCTCAGCACAACACATCCCATCACATCCCACCCCACCCACGACTATTGCCCAAAGTCGTGGCCAATTCAGCCCTGACAATAATATCAATGGACACTTGAGCACGGGTTGTTGGGGCATGTGTTCTTGACATGTTGCGACCATGTCTTTGCGATTGAGATGAGCGTACATAAGTTACGCTTCTGGCCAAAGCCGGAGGATGCGGTTATTGCTCGGTCTACGACGGCGCTACAAGTTTGGACGTTTCCATCAATGACCACACCTTTTATAACCACCCCACTGGGCTCGCCGCCTCCGCAGTGGATCTTTTCATTCTTTTCCGCCGGTCGTGCCCTCAGCACCGAATGCGCGACACCACGGCTTGGAACAAGCCGCATCCCTCGACTTGGGGCCTGACGTCCAATTGACCTAGCTGCATTCGTCATCATTCGTCCGATGTCAGTGGCGAGACCTGGCACAAAAGAGCACCTCTTGGGGAGCAGTCGGGTGGTGAGTATAACATGTAAGAAATATGATGGTCAAAAGCGTGGTCAATGATGCGTCTTGGAAAGATGTAGCGTAGTGTTGCATGCAGAAGTGTCACCTGTGCACTGTCACATGTGCACCTGTGCTTGTCACAGCGGTGCTATCACTCCTTGATCCATGTGGGAGGCTCCATGCTGGATCGTTACTGCCCCCAACATTCCCCTACCTGTTGTGATGTTGCCATGAGAGTGTGTACTTGGCGTTCTGAACTGGAGATTTCAGGTGCTTGATTTGGTTCGGAGCACTCTCCACAGCTGCTCGGAGCGGTTTTGGGGTGTGTTTCTTTTGGTGGGGAAGCTGACTAGCAAGTTCAAGAGTTGTGTAGCCTTTTGATTGCCTAAGCTGGTCCTACCAAGTGCCATGTTATTATTTGTATATACACCCTGGAAGATTAACATGGAACTACAGTATTTTCCTCTACAACCCAGTGGTTTTCAGGTTCCATGTGTTGATGTTATATAATTTTATGACATATGTTTTTTGTTTCTACGACCCACTCGATTGAGACACCTCTTTTCTTTTCGCGAAGAGAGAGGCTGTCACTGTTGGGTTCGTTTGTGGTTCGACTCAGGTTGGGAGAAGGATGGCATCCACTATTTCCTGGAGCAGCTCTTCCACTCAGTGCAGCCACCTCACTCTAAGTGACTTGGAGTTGGAGACACCGATGGAACGCTTTGGGTGAGTGTCTATATATAGATATAGATGTGATTTGTACTGGTAGACGGAATATGTCTTTCAAAAAGCAGCGACCTTGAAAAAGGGTGTCACCAGTTTTATCGGATTCTGGATGAACCGCTGAACGGCTTTTGAAAACCGCCAGGCGCTTTTGTTGGGCCGTACTCCTGCTACTGGCGCCGGGGGCGCAGCAGTAACGGGTCGACGCAACGGGGGTCGACGCCAGCGCGAAAGCGATGAGTTGCGCGTGTGAGGGCGTGGCAGGTAGGCGCAGGTAGGCGTTTTTCGAATTGGTGCTTTGTTTGCCTGAGGACTCCTGCTGGTATAGCTGCATGTCAGGGCTCCAAGTTCATGAGGAAGAGTCGGAAGAAGCTTGTGGGCCGCTGTGTTTCTACAGGGCTGGCCATGCTTCTTCGAAGTTTGCAGAGTTGCTCTTCAGCCTTTGCTAGGAGAAATGGTGCATGGCCATGTTAATCACTCTGTGATACTTGTACTGCTCAATTTTGCTCGTGTGCATCTGGTTCTTGATCCAGATGTCATTTGGAGATTTTGGGAGGAGCTAATTGAACAGGGCATGGCCAAAAAATGTTTTTTTGTGGCATGGTTAGGAGATCGGGCGTTGATCGGAGGAATGGGTTTTAGCTTCTTCATCTCCAAGCTCGTTGGACACACCCAACATTGTTTTCCAGCTCGGGTTCCTTTTGCATCCGTTTCATTCGGACCACATTAGGATTGGCCGGCTATGGCTATGACCACCTTTGCACACACGTTTGGTCGCGGGTCACTATGGACAACCTTTAACATCCTTTGACCGGATTGGCTTCCCCACTTAAATCCAACGGGATGAAAAGGTTAACCTCCATTTTCCAGGGAAAACGGAGGGGTCCAAAAAAGACGCCGTGGTCCTTCGTCACCTCGCAGCTCTTTTTCACATCTTTTGGTTCGGACCCGACTGCTCAGGCAGCACGGCCCAGAACTGCCCGGAGACCCGGCCGTGCTTGCGGTGCTTGGCTATCCAAGCTGAAACGTCAAGTGTCCAAGCCGAAAGCCATTTCTTCAAGCATGGGACAAGCAAGCGGAGCCATTCTTGAGCTTGGACAGCTTGGACGGGCCCAATCTACACTCATCAGTCCGCCTGTTACTGTAAGGGTTGCGCGTTCCTCTACCATCCTCTACCCTGCAAGTGGGGTGCAAGGCGATAGGCATATATATATATATATATTATACATGTATTTATATATACATACATTTATTTATGTGGAATACCTGCCGGATCATTCTACAGTGCCTCGCGCGGGCTTGGTGTTCTGTTGCCGTCCCTCATTGCCTGGTCTCAGCAGTTCAGATTTGCATGCTATGCCTCATTCAATGCGTTTCCCGCTTTGCCGCTGTGTTTGTGGTTCTCAACCAAGTCCAAGGCCCTTTGGCGGAACAGTTCTGCAACCAAGCACGCACTTCCTTGGAATCGGCTGTGGCCCAAATCTCATCATCGTGTGGAGAAGATGTCCAAGGTGTCCATAATCCAAGCAAAGTGGTGTGGCTTCAGATCCAATGTCCAGCTTGGAGGCCATGTGATGAGTATGTCTGAGTATGTGGCTACTAGTAGCCAGAAGCTACTACTAACAAGGGCATCGCTACTAGCAACAAGGGCATTACTATACTAGTAACAAGAAGGCTACGAACGTAGCAAGGCACCGACCACGGCACGAGTGGCCGTCTTCTGTGTGGCGTCTTGTCCAGATCTCACGAGGTGAAACTGGATTCGCAGACGGTGGAAGATCGGGTCTTGCAGGCGAAGAAGGCGCCGTCCGTCTACTGAGTCTGGGTGCATTTGGGAGGATTGGTGAATGGAGATGTTGATGAGAATGGAGATGCCAACTTGGTGAATGGAGATGCCAATTTGGGTTCCATACTTTGGTGAATGGAGATGTTGATGAGAGATGCCAACTTGTCCGCCCCGCACGTCGCAACAAACATGCAATGCCTCTAGGCCTTCGGTACCCTGGAGACCGCCCTCACCGCTGCGCGCGCCGCGTTGCCGGTGCAATCACCGGGCCCGATGACTTCGCCACGGCCTTCGCCACGGCTGGTGCCCTCGCCGGCGCCCCGTGCACGCCGGGAGCAGACGGAGGAGCAGGCAGGATGCACGGGATTGGGGATGCAGTGTAGGCGATGGGCAGAAAAAGCACACCCACTAGTGCACGCATTGTATTGTGCTGTGCCCGTTGCACCATTGGTGACATCTATGAAGTGCCAAGTGCAATACTTGCATTCATCCTGCCCTTTTTGGGGGAAGTCTCTCAACTCCTCCCACATGCCAGATGATTGAGGCCAATCTCTACCGGTGGTGGCATTCTTCTCCAGGGCTGACCATTGCCGCTAAGCCCCGGAAGCGAAGGCCCAGTTGACCCGTTTCAGGCAAGTAAGGTTGGCATTCATGTCAGCTTCAAGATACTTCAAGTAAGTTCCAAATGAAGAAGTTTGCTGAAATCAACTGATGGCAGAGGGTTGGTCCACCGATCTTCCACAGCAAGAAGAGAAGTATTTGGAGAGTGGCAATGACCTACAGACTTACAGAATTCCTCTCTAAATGACTCGTCCGACCTGTTCACCTTTGCCGCCAAGAAGGAAAGATGAGCCTGCGGAGCCTGCGAAAAGTCATCGAGGCATGTGGAATTCGATTTCAGTGGTGGGTTTCCACCGCAGATCCATAGAAGATCCACTTGAAATGTGGATTGAACAATGGCATAAAACAATAAACTGATCCACTTTTACTTGTATTTCACATCGAAATTGGTTGACCAGTGATGTGAAGTGAGTGACTCGGATGTGACCTTCCGATGTCCACCGATGTGAGTCACCGGCGCACTCCTTCACCGTGTGAGCTGGTGTTTTTGTGAGGTCTCTCGTGCCTTGGTTCCAGCCTATCCCAGTAGGTTGATGAAGTGAGTTGAAGGAATTAGAGGAAAACTTCCCAGACTTTTTAGATCTTTTTAGCTTATAAGGATCGAAGTAATATGCCTCAGTCAGCTTTCAGGAATGTTATTGGTTTACTTATGTTCAGTTAATCTGGATTTTTGGATGCTGCCCCAGCTTCAGGCTCTCACAATGCACGTTGAAACCGCATGGAGTGCGGATTGTCCAAAGCCCTTTTCGCTTGGCCCGTTCAGAACCATTCCAGGCCGCCTGGGCGGCCGTGCTCTCCGGCCGCGGTCCGCTCGGCCGCGATCGGCCCGAGTGCCGAAGGCACGACGGCCGGGACTGAGTCGTTGGTAGACCGTGGAGTAGTTCATTGGAGTCCATTTGTCATCATTGGTCCGGGTTCGGGTGGAACATCTGCACATATCTGCACCCATCAGAAGGTGACATCATGCACAACTGCCACACCCCAACTCGCAGACTAACAATGGAAGCGGAAAAAAAAGAGAGAGAAAACACCATTAGTTCGTGCAGGAAAAAGTGGTCTTCCAAGGGGCCATGCCATCCACTTTGATGTTGCGAAGTCAGAGAAAGCAAGTCGACACACAATTCCAAGGCCTACAGGGCACAGGCCCCATGGAGGTTTCCGTGTGATGTTTCCGTTCATGCAACGCACACTACCTCAGGTGTTGGTTTTCGGTGGCCCTAGTGGTGGCCCCTTCGTATAGGGAGCAGATGAACCTTTGGTGTTGGTGCTGTAGTCTAAGCCCTGATGATCCAAGTACTCCACTGGGTGGTGGTTTCAGATATTTTTCTACCCATTGCTTGATCCCACTGACGCATCTTCTTCCGAGTTGAAAGCAACCAGTCCATGATGTTCTCGGATGGGTCAAGCCACCAAGACTACCAGATCGGAGCTGTGGTTTGACGTTGCAAGCTGCGTTTTACGGTGCACAGGAGGTCCTTGACAAAGTGACAGAAGCTTCCGGTAGGAAGTTTATCGTTTCCGGGTGAAATCATCTGAAACATACTCTTCCAAGGAGCTTTGACAAGCACTTTTCCCATGTAAATCCTCGATGCCAAACAGGTGTCCATGTCTCGTGACCCCCTTTTTTTCATTTTCGCTCCGCTTTCCATGGACGCGTGATGACGTACCTGATGAGGCCGACGCTTCTGATGAGGACCCCTCTTTGAGCGAGGAGGTGCTGCCCGCGGTCCGCGGTCCGGCGGTTCAGCACTGCGATCGCTCATCCTGGGGGTTCATTGCCCGGGACGGTTTGGAATTGGATCGGTGTTTGTGTTCATCTGCACAACGTCCTTTTTTTAAGACAAAGGACGACCAAAGCTTTCTGGTTCGAAGGGCTTAGTGCAGATTTGCACTGAAGGATGACCATTGCTGCACGTGTTTTCTCACCTAGTTGGGTACCCTGTTCGCTCTGGGTAATGAGCCACCGTATGGTTTTCAACTTTGTATTGATCTTGGTCGCAAATGTCTCGCAGTTTTCATGCTGCTTATATTCCGGTGACGCAAAAGCAAACTAATTCTTGGTGTGGGCATTCCACAACCGCTGAAAGAGCGCAGCGCTGCAAACCCAGCACATCCCAGCCCAGGGTAGGTCCATTCCAGTGAACTGATATACGATGTAAATCTTCAGAAAATGCGTTTTTGATCGTTTTTGCCTTTCTCTGTGTTCTTCAGTATTGAAACGAACAGTTTACGGACTGATACGAGTCAAAGCGTTTTGGTGCCAGCCTCCACGTTTGGTGAGCTTTGCCAAGCGCAGTGCGCGCAGGAGCAGGAGGCATCAAGCGAATACGAAGCACCCGCCGCTCGGAGAAGGGATGCACGGGATGATACATGATAACGGGTATATAAGAGGAACAAGAAGCTATTAGGGGCTCCTGGCTTTACTACTAGGAGCAAGGACGCTACTAGGGGCTCCTGGCCCTACTACTAGGAGCAAGAAGCTATTAGGAACAAGAACTAGAATCAGTCTTCACCCCCAATTCCACCACTTTCCCATACAGCACCTTGACTGTCCGAAAAGGTGCCCTTACCCTTAGACCCTGAGTCCTTGTGTTTAGGAGGGATTTCTTACCAAACCACTGGAGGTTAAACCCTTAGCACAGGACCTATGGACAGCTAGCGGTTCGGTCTCGTACGTGGCAGCTGCGCCCATCTGTCTCCCTTGGCACTTGCGACGACTAAGATGTCGACGCATGTCGCTGGGGGCGACGTATGCTATGCTATGCGTGAGTTCCGTGGCGTGGAAGACACATCAGACTGTTCACACCAACTGTTTGGCACCCTCCGTAGTCCAGTGAAGTTGCCGGGCAAGGGAGGAGCGATTGAAGTCCAAGTGCTACCACCTGGAGCCCCAGGCTCGTTTCACGATATCAATGATATACTTTCAAGGCTTTGGTTGATCAGTTGATCAACTGTAACATAATATTATAGGACTGGTTACTGGTTGCTAGAATCTAGCATGCCAAGTTTGTAGTACCAAACTAGACTCAAAATTTGAGAAGCCACCATGTGATCCAGGCTTTATTCGATAGATTCTATCCGAAGTGTTTTGTGCGAGCATTTCAGGGCGGCCAGTGTCTCTAGCTTACCTTTGCTCCCGCATAGAAGTGAGAGCCTGGAACTCGTTCATGTGAATTGATCCAAATCTCCCAAATAGATAGACGTTCGTAAATCCCCACATAGAACATGTATTGGAAACCTTACGCCACGGTCAAGTTACTTTGGGGCCACGGTCTGAACCCCTTTCAAACCACTTGACCTCCGGGCCCGCCTGGGCCCCGAAGACCGAGGCGAAACGGGAGACCCAGAGAGACCAAGCTGTCCAGGCCGACCCAGCTGTCTAGCAGCTGTTCCTGGCCCAGCAGGTTCAAAAGTGTGGTTGGTTGCTTTGTGATTCATGCTGGGCCAGGAACAGCTGGAAATGACTTTGGGCGGCGAGGAAGAGGGGAGAGTGGAGGAGCAGCGCAAAAGGCCCCCAAACTGCTGGCGCTCCTGCCAACGCCGGTCACAATGAACTTTTGATGGCTGGCTCCAACTAGAATAGATACTCCCCTGCAGATTAACATGGAACTCCAAAACCACTGGGTTGTATGTAGAGGAAATGGTCGAAATCACCAGTCAATTCTCAGGTTCCATGTGGTCCGTTCGCGGTCCCGAACGACGTGGGTATGGCAATGGCAGACCGAATCAGACCGAATTCCCTTTTCTGGGTATGGCATGGCAGGGGATTCATCACAGGATTGAGAATTGTTGCTTTCGGGGTTTTGGGGGGATGAATTCACTAGGAGGCTGTCAATCAATGTGGATGACATCGAACGACAATTACCTTGCTCTAAGCACCATCCAATGAGCCACTTTCTTCGGAACGGATGGCACCCACGGCACTAGGCTCTCCAAGGCTGTTGGCAGCATTCCAACCCCAAGCCGGGGCCCCAGCATCCGACCACGAGCCGTGGGTACGCCGAGAGCAGCCGGACCGAGCATGGCTGGACCAGTTTTTCTAGTTGATCAAACTGGTTTGTTTGGCCAGTTTCGGGTTCGGGTTTTCATGGCATGGCTTGATGTTCTGAGACTTATTTTGTGTTGCTGGAGAAATTCTGAACACACTTGGAAGAGCTGAAGGTATGCTGAAGTCACAAATCATCACAAATCCGATGGGCTCCAACCATGCAGCTGTCACACATGGCCGTCCTGATTCCATCCCTGTCCACAAAAACGCCCGTATGACAGTATGACATGCTACCTTTAAGAACCCAACACTCTTAACATGAAAGACCACTCCGCAGGACGGCAAGGACGTAGGCCTTCGGCTCCGACCGGTGGGAAAGCAAAGGCCCAACGTCTCCGGCCAATTCTTCTTTCGTCTCCGGCTCAACCGTTTGGATGTCGGTTTTGTCGTCTGACCATCCGGCCGACAGTTGAGGTATGGACAGTTGAGAGTGCAGGACTTGGTCGTGACCTTCCTTTCGAGCGCCTGGGACCGACCTTCGTCGCTGCGGACCGACGGAATCCAGCGCAGTGGGGGAAACCCATGGTTAGCACGGCATGTTTGGGGGTCTTGATGCACCGGGAGATAGCAGTTTAGACACTTGACATGCTATGCCAAACCTGCTATGCCATGCTGAGAAAAAGAACGGTATGGCTATGCCATGTTATGCCACTACTTGGGGTGTTTGATGGCAGTTTAGACACTGCACCAGCAAGTCAACCTTTGTCTTAAGATGTCTTAAGCAAGTTTTTCCCGCTGAGGTGGGAAGACTTGCTCGGTCACTGCAAGGCGCCGTAGTGGTGCAATACAGACAGAGGAAATGCTAAATGGGAGTTAGAGAGGTCCAAGATGGTAGAAGAGTGGATATGATATATGATATAGTAATATATAATATATAATCCCTTCCACCTATTAAAAAACACGAGGCCCCCCCCCCCCCAATAAGGAAACCTCGATCGCATTTTTTCTAATAGGGGGTCCCTGAAATCGGGGGGTCCAAAATAGGGTCACCTGGAAAGAGTTTCAAAACCAACAAATAATCAAGGGAAATTTTATATAAAATCATTTATTGAACACGTATCAAACATGCAAAAAACATCCAGATCGAAGGGTCTTCCTTTTCCCCTACAACAACCTTCATTAGAATAGTGATTCTTCAGTAGACTAACAGCTAAAGCTTTCGAAAGGTGATGTCGCTGTGCCATGCGGTGTTGCATGACCTCGGTGGCAAGTGCATTTGCGTGAGTCCGTGCCATTGGGGGAAGGAAAGCCTGCTGGTGCAAGCGCGGCGTGTCATGGTGGATAGACAGGGCGGACAGAGGTGGGCAGTTACGGTTGTTTTTGGAACCTAATAAGAAAAACCCCTCCAAAATCGGCCATGTTGGTAGTTTAGTAGCGGCTTGAAAGGGCGGTAATTAAAAAACAAATATAAGCCGTATTTAGGGGGATCCGACATGATGTGTTTTTTAAATTTGGTGTGCGTTTTTTTTAAGCAGGTGCTCGGGATTATATATACTATATTGTAGACCTGTTACTGTCCAGTAATGCAGTGACCCTTTTTCCCGGTAAGACAAAGGGACTCGTGCCTGTCGGTCACTTGCTACATGGCTTGGACTCATGCAGTGCAGGCCAGATGGAAGTGTGGACGTTGCAGGATGGGTCTCCAGGCCACCGAACTGCAGGACTCCGGAGGAGCCCATGGAAATTGATGCAAATAGTAAAGACACATTAAAACACATTATGATGCTATAGTCGGCTAGAGTGTGCTATAGATTCATATAGGCTCCTTGCTCCAAAAGGTTCTTTGTTTCTCAAGACCTGCTCATGTTGTAGAGTCTACGGTAGAGTCTGTAGGGTCATGTCTAGTTTGACACCAGTTTTGACGAGGCCCGAAGGGCCAAAACCGCAGAGGCCAGGTGAGTTGGGTTTCGTCCACGGGACCGAGTTCGGGTGAAAAACGTTGCCAGCTCCTTGTGCAGTCCTTGTGGAGACGTCTTAAGTCAACGTGTTGTTTTCTTCTTTGCGTGTGTGTGTGCGTGGCACTTGTTTCGCCACAACTGCAGTTATAGGCTATAGGCATTTTTTGGGGGGGAGACCCGTTGCTGGTGTTTTGGGTCCATCATCATGTACATGAGAGATGCAAGATCTAAGTCCCAATCAGCCTTGTAGTGCCATAAATCTTGACTCTAAGATGATAGAAAACAAAGATCATGAAAGAAGTTGGTTCGTTTATTTTTTTGGTTAATTGAATTGGTCTTGGATTCCAAGGATCACCTGGACCAGTCCAAGCCTCAAGGGTGGCCGGGTCAATTCGCAGGCTGATGCGAACTGGACCTGCGAGACAGTTCCGAACGTTTCGACTGAGGCGGCACTCGAAGCTGTTCTTGGCAGCGTCACTGGGATTGCGGGCGGCCACCGAATTCACAAATCTTCCGCGAAATGACACAGGAATATGCGCAAGATTTTTACATTTTGAGAGTGAGATTATCTCAACACAAGCTTCTTGGAGGCACCCCAACATACTAACTGTGCGGCTTTTCGTGAATGTGTAACTATGTACATTAGTGTGACAGGTTCTGGATTCAATCAAGCTATAGGTACTTATTCCACTGAGGCACCCCATCCTTGGGTTTGGTTCGGAGCTGGCGCTATGCTTTGTTGCTCCCAAACTCAGGCCAAAGGTTGCGACTCCGGCACCAGCAACAGTGACCGCACGCTGCACAAAAGTGCAGCACGATGAAGATAGCACAGTGTGGGCCCAGCGCCAAGCAGCAAGGGGCCTACCTGAAGATCCAAAACAGCGCGGATGGTTGTTTGTGTACCTCGGTCCTCTGGGGTCAGGAAGTCATGTTTGCTGGTGTAGGGTGGCGGGGTGGTGCTTCTTCGTTGATTTGTGGCCCATGCCCGATGCGTCTTGCTTGAAGGCAATGCTTAAGTTCTGGGATGGGAGGTCGGCATCAACGGTTGAGGCTTTGAGCATCAACCGTTCACAAGCTACCAGAGAGGTTTCGGAACCTTTTTGACTAGCACGAACGGAGCAGGCCAATGGTCGATGCTAGGATTTTTTTCTTCGGCCACATTCGAAGCATCAATGGTTTGTTATCAAGTTTTACCTGAACGGCTGTAGTTATGGAGTGTATAGCTCCAGCATGGCGAACGCAGAAGAGGCGCGGGCGGTCAGTGCTACATTCAGCTCGCTTTAGCAGAGCCAATAGCCTGAAGCATGTCATACATGGTCATTCCATGTTTGTGTTACTCGCGTCGCTCGTGTTACTATACTTGTTGGACCGTTCGTTTGTAGCCAATTCGTTTGATGATGGTTTTGAGTCAGCAAGGCCTCCTCGTGGCCAAGCTTTCAAGCCGTTTGAGCTGCGTACAGCGCCTATCAAGTCCACCACAGAACAGAGAATCAGAGTCAGAGTCAGCCCCATTCATTAAGCCAAACACACGCTCAGTGTTGTCTTGCAGCACCAGCTACTTATATAAGTAACGTACCTTTGACCCTTTCCAATATGCCTGGCGTACGCATGTATATGCCTTGTTTGGCCACATTTGCACAATGAGATAGAGCACCTGAAAGACAGAGGTTTTTAGAGGTCTCTGAGGTCTCATTGTCCAACGGAATGTCCTCTGAGACATTCCCACCATGGCCCGCTCCCGGAGCCCTTCACGCCCTTCAGCACGTTCGGCGCAGCCCTCGGTGGCCTTCGTCACCTTGGCCTCGGCGGAGTATGGACCGGGCGCGTTGGTGTTGACCGCAGGTCTTCGGCGTCGCTTGCCGCTGGATGTGGAGGTTATTGCCTTTAGCGAGGCCGAGCTCTCGCTGGTGCCAGGGGTGACCTTGAGAGCCTTATCGGAACTGCCAGATGTACCTGTACCTGCTGGCGTGGGGGAGCCTTTGATGGCGAATTTCAGCTTTTGCTGGAGGAAGCTTGGCCTGTGGGCACTGACGGAATATGACATCATTGTCTACATGGATTCGGACATTTTGATTTTGAATGAGGTAGAGTCTTTGCTTGAGTTTGTTCCTTCACGAGGGATGTTGGCCGCAGTGCCTGCTTGCGAATGTTGGAGAAGTGAATCATGCAATTACACAGCCCAAGAAGCTGGTGGCGGTGACTTCTACTTCAATGCTGGGGTGCTCGTTTTTCGCCCTAGTGCATCGATTTTCTCGGAGATGATAGCTTGGCTCAAGGATCACCACCAACATGGAGCTGTGTCTGAGGTCTTGCCGCCCATGCCCTTTGCTGAGCAGGATTTTTTGAATCAATTTTTCCGGAAGAAGGTGCGCAGGTTGCCACCAATCTTCAATTCGCTACAGCATGCCATGCGCAACCCAAAGCATCAAGCTGACCTGAATACAAGTACTTGTGTCGCTTTGCATTATGTCATGGGAAAGCCTTGGGCTCCGAAAACGTTGCTTGAAGAAGACTTCGCTGACTTCCACGCTCTTTGGCACGAAGCACGTCAGGAATTTGCTGCACGTGCTTGTGCGCGACCAGCTTGGCCACTCCGGCAGGTTCATGAAGAACTTCCACTCTTCTTGGTGCGAGACTACATCAGCCGAGAGGTGGAAGGATCGTTGGTGTCTCTGATCTATGGGGACTTCCTCAAAGATCGCTGGATCCAGCTGAGGAATCGTGCTCTGCTGTGCTTAGGAGGTGTTCCCCATCCGGAGGGTGCCATTTGTGAGGACTTGCCCGTGGAAATCGCCGAGCTTGGACGTGGGCTAGTTGATGCTGGTGGGATGTCTAGCGTTCCAGACCAGTGCCTAATCAATCAATACCTTCCTGGACAGGGCATTGACGCTCACAGTGATGGCCCGAGATTCGAATCAGAAGTGGCCATTCTCACTTTGGAAGGCCCTGCCCTCATGTATTTCGGCCTAGTGGAAAAGAAGATCTATCCATCTCTCCCCCCACGCTTGGAGCTGCTCTTGGAACCCCGTTCCTTGCTGGTCCTCAAGCGTGAAGCTTATGAGCTCTATGTCCACCGGATCGATCATGTCACGGTGGATGTGACTCAAACGGGCCACTCGTTTCGGGTTACGAAAGGCTTTTGGTCTTGTCTTTTCGCACGCGAGCCTGGCAGCTGCGCCTTCGTGGGCGGGGCGTTCGCCTGCCTTGGCTCCTTCGCGGGCGGCTTGGCGTTTTCGGTCTGTTTCGTCGAAAGAACATTCTTCGTCTAATCATGTCTAATCCACGGACAGTGAGGTGGTGACGGTAGTGAGGTGAAAGACACCAGGATCAGACCCTCTCCCTGGTCCACCTGGCGGTCTGAAGGCATGTGGTCGAACTGGGCGATGCCATAATTGTTTACACCATCCTTCGTTCATGGCAGATCTTCCATTTGCCGGGAGCTACGCCAACAATAAGTGAACCAACTACATGGGATGATTTCCCGGGGAGTGTACTTGGGATGATTGAACCGACTGACTCCTCTTCGTTCTTTTCGTTGACCTTCGCCAGGTGAAAAAATCCCCCGCGCTCCTCGTCGCACCTCTTTGACCCTGCGGCGCTTAAAGCACGTCCAGCTGAGGAGTGAGGAGGTGAAGGACGAAGTAGCACGTAGCGCCAAGATGGAACAATGGAGATGGTGGAACTCACAGATTAGTGAGATTGACTAGTCCCAAAAAGGAGCGCTTGGGACGACTGGCTCAGTCAACGTGGTTCTTGAGCTCGATGGTTCAGGTCCCAGCTAGATGCTCTACTAGTAACACAGGGCAATGCTACTAGGAGCAAGGATGCTACTAGTAGCTCCTGGCCTTACTACTAGGAACAAGAAGCTACTAGGGCATCCGTTGCTAGAGCACTAAGTTTGTCGCAATTTTGGAGTCATGCATAGTCATTCCATCGTGCCAGGTGCTCTCGACCCTCTGGCTTTCAAGCCGTGGCAAGGGTAGCACGAGCGGGGGAGCACAGAGACAAGCTGCATTAAACCTGGCCGCCACTATGGAAGCCGGTTGAATTGAGGGCAAGTTGATGCCCTGTGCTGATGAGCAGTTCGAGCTTCATTGCAACTTGGTTGTTTATTCACTCAACTTCATGTGGAGAATATTAGGTTGGAGGCGGCCATTGTCCATCGCTATAGGGTTGGAGTCCATCTCTCCAAATAGTTTTCCTTGAGTCCAAGGTGGCTGCTGCGGCCGCCCAAGGCTGCCGTTTTGCGGACGCTGTCGGGGATATTCCGTCGACTTGGCCGACTGGTTCGTCCCAGCGCAGTTCCAAAGTTGGCACATCAAGACACCAGACATTTTGAACTAATTGAACCTTGGAATCTCGTGTGGTGGTCATATTTAAAAGGTGGGTTCCCATGTGGCTCAAGTCGCACATGAGAGCAGCTTGGACCTACAAGCTTCATGCTGGAAAGCATGGTCACCGCCACGCCGCGCCAGGGATTCCAGTTTCCTGCCAGGCGCCTGACGGTACATCCTGCCAGTGCCCACTTGTCCAAATGTCTTGAGTTTGCTGGGTTCATTGCCATAGCCTGTCATGATCAGATCATTGGTTTGAAGCCTGGCTATTTGGAACGCGTGGATGATCCATCTTTTCCATGTGAAAAAACGCCTGAACACGCGGGGGCCTGCAGCAGCTGCCAACGGCACAGATGTGAAAAGATGTGAGCTCACACTTATGACACTGAGTGTGTATTAAAAATAGGGAGACTACCCAGATCGACCCTCTGGAAGAAGGGAAATAGATCAGTACTACCCATTAATTAGGGACCTCCCTATTCAAATACATACCCATAGCTTTGATATCCCAAATATGTGCCTCTTGACTGGCACCAGGCGCGAACTCATGCTGGTTCTGGCCTTGACCCTGGGAAAGGTGCCGGTAGTCGCAAGGACAAATGCAAAAGACCGAAATGGAATCGAAACCTATCCTTCATTGAATGGAATCGAAGGAATCCTCATGACCACCCCAGTTTAGTCACTGAAGCTGTCCACTCGGCTCAGGCTCTCCAAGTCTGTCGGAAGTGGGGTCTGTCACAAAGTCAGGCTCCCAGATTCCGTTCCCAAAGCGGACAGTACCACAGTCACCGCTTTGAGCGCACAGGTTGCCACCTTTTCATGTTCTGTTGGTTTTGCAGTGGAGGTCCAAGGTCTTCAATTCAGGAGGCTCTTGTAAATCGAGAAGGTCAAGCTATAATAGTCGTTTATTTGTTGGGGAAAGGTCACCTTTAAGCAGTGTTGCAACATTTGACATAGCAAAGCTGTTCGATTGACATAGCAAAGCTGCAGCGGCACCGTTCTTTCCGGTCTGTTTTTTTGAGGGGGGACTTCACTCCGGTCAGTGAGAAGTTGAAGGCAAGGAGATATGTCGGACGCACAGAAGACACGGAAGACATCGACAAGAAAAGCAGAGCCATACACCATCCACACACCTGGTTGTCATATATATAATATAGATAGATATACTGTAATATGATAGTTGTCATATGAGACACTGCAAGGTTTTGAGGACAAATCTCGTCAGACTGCGACAACAAGATGCATGCTGTTGCAACCGCATGCGGAACCCAAGGCTCCTTGACAGCCCAGGTGGTTCGGCATGGATCTCGAGACTCTTAACTAGTTGGAGGCCATTGCTACTAGGTTGGAGGCCATGCTGCTATTAGGTTGGACCTGGAGGCCATTGCTACTAATTGCGCTAGTCGAGACCTTTAACCAAAGTCTACAAATTGAGAGCTTCCAGGATCAAGCAGCGGGCTTGAGGCTGTTGCCACCAATCCAATCGGTTTGAGTTGCCTCCTCAAACACAATTAATTGTAGAACACCTCATGAGCCAGATTTGTAAACAGAGACATAATTAGAGCCCAGCACAGGCTCAAACATGGGTACCCGGGCGATTCACGAGGGGACACTCAAAAAGATTACTGGCGTTTATAGTCGTCCTTTATTCCTCGCTTTTTGCAGTGGTTCTGTTATTTGTTTGCAAGGTGAAACACTTGTAGTGACTTTGCTTCTTTTCTCCACGTTGACCCTTCAAAGTCCCCTGCTGCCATGTGCACCTGGAATCTATGGGGCGTGGAGGCTTAGCAGACTCAGCTAGGCTGCTGAAGCAGGTTTGGGGCAGACAGAGCCGCACACGGTTGGTGTGGCTTGGTTGATTGCTTAGGTGTTTCGTCGTTTTGAGTTGTGGGCGGTGTAGGATGGGCCCCTTCAATTTTTTGGTTTGACCCGTTTTGGAAACCTCCTGAAAGCTCGTTTGCGGTGCCATGTTCTTTGGGCAGAACACCTTTTAAACTGGTAAGAGCTAGGGCCTAGGGCTGAACGTGGACCGTTGGTTGACGTGCCTGGGACTTTTTGACGTTCCTCTAGTGCCCCCGTGTTCCTGAGCAAGTGGCCCTTTGGTTTTTACATTCAGATTCATTTACCCAATCTCAAAACCAATGGCGCAAGGGAGGGAGGGATTTTACAAGATCATTGCCTTTTGAGATGAATCCAGGGATGGTTCTCTCACACACACATGCTATTAACCAAACGCTGCTAGGGTCTCAGCGATTCGTTGTCCGCCAAAGAACAGTGGCAGAACAGTGAAACATGCTTCGACAGTGAAACAGTGAGACAGCAGGCGGACTGAACAGCTCGAACTTGGTGAAAGCCACCTGCCCAACAGAGACTCAATGATTCGATGCTTAAAAACGTGTGAGGCAAGGCTCAATCATGCTCAAATTCAACTTCTCAGTTCAACCCAGAAGCAGCGACCCCAATCCATCAGCCTTTTTCAGGCTCAATATTAGACTGCCGACCGGCACTAACTACCCCTTCTCAGTCATTCTTCTCTTGCTGCAGCCGCGCTTTCTGAAAAAAGCAGGGACAGAAGTGAGCTGCCAATTGGTTTTTGAAAGGGGGATTGACACATCCTGCAGACCTGCCGCAACAGCTGTTCAGTACTCTTGTTTGTTTTGGTCATCGGCCCACAGTCAGACTGTCAGATGTGAACAATCTGTTTCCTGTTTACGTACCCCATCAAACCTCTTATAGGTACTCTGACTCTTAGGTTCGCCGCTTGAATTGTTGCCAGGTCAACCATGGACTTGAGTGATGTGACCTTTCTGCCAAAGGCCCGGCCGGCTAGTCGACCTACCCAGATAGAGATGTTTGGTTCAATAAAGTAAGGAGGCCTTGAATGAATGGAGGCCATGCATGCCATGGAGGCCTTCCCAGGCCCAAACCCAGCCGCTTCTTTCGCCGCCTCGCTGCCGCAAACCCGTGTTGGTCCCACCGCTTCAGGCGCCTTACGCGGGGAAGTTCGTACCATTGATCACGTGCCCACAGGTGTCGGTGTAGAGTAGAGATGAACTCGGAGTGTCCAGATGGACCAGAGGTGTTGAAAGGTGTTGAATAGATGATTAGCTGGATGTTTTTTGGTTTATCCTTTTAGCCAACTCAATGCCATGACGTCCCAATTGTGGCTTGCTGAGATCTTGTCGAGATTTTTTATTGATTGTTTGCGGTTCCAGGGTGAACCAGCTTGAATTCGATGAGTTTTTGCCTACAAATTTGGCCAAGATGGAACGGATCAATGTCAGTTGCGAAACTTGCTGAACCTTGATGTTTCATCAGGTTGCCCATGAACAAGCCTGTGCTCTTGCCAAAGTGCGGCAGCCAAGCCATTGAAGTTGTAGTTTCCACCTCAACAGCTACCCCTTTCTACCTTGAACATCCTTGAACCATCTCAGCACCATCCTCAACTCTGTGCTGCATTGAATCGCCGGAGAGCTTCAGAGCCCATGGCCCAGACGAAGTGCCCTGACGGACTAATTGGGCACCCCAGCCCACGGGCAACCAATTGCGCGGACGATGTTGACAGATTGGTGAAGAGACATTAAACTATTGACTATTGACCAACTGGGGATAGCCACGGTTTCTCCAGGTTTTTGTCCGGCACTGATGACAGGAAGGGTGTGTCTCACATCTGACCGACTGTCATGAAAGCCCGGTTCAGGGTGGGACGTGCGATTCCAGCCGCATGTGTTGATCGACCTGCTGTTGGTCACTTGCTGTGTGTAGGTTGGTCCAGAAGATATGGCCTGCGACCTGGGCTGTGGCTTGGGCGGCTGGTGCATTGAAGCCGCCAAGCAGAGCACCCCAGGGAACTGAGGAAAACTGAGGAAAGTAGCGAAAGCAAGATTGAAATGGTTGTTTGTTTTGTCAATGAGAAAGGACACATTCATCATCCTTCATCTAAGTTCTGCACCAAAAGCTTCAAGGTTCCAAGATATTTGCTCCTCAAAATGTGTGATTCCTCTTGGTCCTGCTCTTGGAGCTCCAATTGGAGCACAAAAACGCGAATAAGGTGCGGTGCACATGCACTAGGCTCGTGGAGGGCATGCTGCTTGCCCAAGCATCACTCACCTCCATGGCTTCTAGATGCTTCTAGCATGAAGAAGCACCAGGGTGCGTTTGCAGGTCAGGTTCACATGTCTCCACTAATGCTGAGTGCAAAAAAGCTGGCGTTGAGCATGTGCGGTACAAAGGGGCATTGTGTGATTGAACAATTAGGAGCAATTTACTTTCCCAGACCTTAGCAACAAGTGCATCGCTACGAACGTAACAAGTGCATGATGAACGTAAGCTAGAGAAGCTACATGAAGCTACGAACGTCGGCTACGTTGCCTTAAAACAAACCTTCCGAACGTAGCGACAGTCGCATCGTGCGACTGGCACCGAGGACGCCTTCGGTGCTAACCAACGTGTTTAGATCCCAAGCCTCCTTGGCCCGGGCTTGGCGGCACGAGCAGCGACAGGTCTCGATATCAATCTTCATCACCTCAGGCTGGACAAAACGATCGAAAGTAGAGGCGTACCAGCCTGGTGGTTGGAAGCGTTTTGCATCGTTTTTGCTCTTGGATCTATAGGTGGTTGGAAGTGAAGATGGGAAACCTTAACCCTAAGCGAGTTCCAGAAGGTAAGCAAGAGTTCATCACAGTTTGGAGTGCATTGCAACCCAACCGGGGCACTTTGCTGACCAGTCTTCATGGTGAGCACCGAGTCAAGCAAATGAACATGAAAAGCTGGCCATCCAGGCAGGCAGAAGCGAATGCTGAATTAGCTGGAGTGGCTTCCATGTTGGAAACTCAGAACTTTGTAAGTAGAGAGCTTATCAATTTGGATGGTGGATCATGGAGGCGGAGATGTGCTTTTGAATTGTCGTTTGTAGAATTCCTACCGCAGGTGAGACTTTTAAACCGCGGGCGCTGTTGGTCGGAGAGGCTTGCCAGCCCTTTTCGCGGAGGTGCACCTTCCGCGAATGCGATTTCACTGCTCCCTCCTTCGAAGTGCCACGGGCCCATCCGAGTGCACGAAGCCACCAGAACAGACATGTTCATATCCACCGGCCGCCAACGCTTTTAAACCTTGGCCTTCATGGCAACTTCGTGGCCTTGGAGACACGTGTCTTCTGATCAAATGTGTGGTTCTTTGGATTTGCTTGGCTAATCGCTTGACCTTGTCCCTTTAGTATGTTCCACCTTTTTGACGTGCCAATATGCCATTTCATTAGCCATGCAGCTTCGCTGAGGCCTGTCGAGGTGACAGTGCTCTTTGCGTACTTGCTCCCTTGGGCGCCAGGGTGGCCAAGAGAGGGAGAGTATGTGTATCATCCGGTGCAATGGGGTACTTGTGGCTCAGCAGTGGTTGAGTGTTGACACATAACATCCACATAACTTCACACTCTTGACACGGCAGAGTGCAAGTTCTGCTAATGTATCAATACGCAGCTGCGCTTGCCAGGCCAAAGGACAAGGAAGCCACTCATGTAAACCAATTGAACACTGGTAGTTGCAGATCGACAACAGCAGCTCCTTCCGCAACGTCCTTCCCAGGCTTGAATACCTGGAGCCTCAGCTCCAGAGATTTGTGGAGCGTGGAGGCCGTTTGGCTGGATCCCTAGAACTGTTTGGCTGGATCCAGTCTGCTCTCCTGTGCCTTCGTTTGATTCGTCTTCTCCGAAGAGCATTCAACAGCAGGGTCACCCGACAGGATGCTGAACTCAGCTTTGCGACCGGACCGGGATCGTGCTGCCTACGGGTCGCACTGCCGGGGTGAGGTGAGCTTCCAGTTCCATCCGGTGAACTTCAAAGCCTCCAAGGTCTCACTCTTCGGCGCCTTAAAGCTCTACAGGATCGGAAGGGAGCTGGGCGACCAGGGTTGTAGGGATGTTGTAGGGAGAAATGCGTCGGAGGATGGGTGGGGCTAGAGTTTTAAAGGAGACCAGATGCAAAGATGTTTAGAATGGATATATAATGACGCTCAATAGCGAAAATAATGACCTGGCGAAGATCAGCCTTTTCAAGCAAATGTTTGTGTAACTGCAGTGGGGCGCGGTTAGGGGTGTCAATGTGTCCCTGTCGGGCAGTTCTTGCACCTGGCAAGTCATGAGACCGCAAGTCCCTGTTGACAAGAGTCGCTATGGAGATCACTTGGGCTATGTGCTGGTATTTTTTGCAATGAACGGCATAACAGGCTGGCTAGACTATGCTAGACTCAGAGTTAGACTGTGGGAGGTGTCCGATGTGCGTGCGATGTGCGTTCGTGGACTCATGTTCAGGAGCTGCTCCGAGTCTGAAGGCCAGGAAGCATGGTTTGGTTTATGGTTTGAAGCACTTATTGGACACAGCCAGGACAGTCCTAGAACAGTCCTACTCTCCAGGGTTTTGAAGTCGACACTGCGGTCGACAACTCGGTGGGTGTGAGAGGCTGGTTGCAGATGGTGTTTGTTGCCTCTCCACTTCGCCCTGAGGGCTCTCTGGCCCCTTGTTTTTCTCAGAGACGGACGGACAGGAAGCGGTGGTGACGATGCGATGTGAAACCCTCCCGGGAGCGAGCACGCAGGTGGTGAATGTGATGCCGAGGAGCTAGCAGCTTGACGGGATTTTCACTTCTTGGTTCGAAGTGGATACATCATGAACTATCTAATATATAATGATCTATACATCTTCGGTTAGATGTGCTTTGTTTTTGTGTTTCAATGTGTTTCATGATGCAACCGGAACGGTTTGTTCCCGGCCGAAGGACCAATGTTATCCAACGTTCAGTGTCTCTTTAGTGTCCGTGTGTGCGGGCGAAACGGACCAGTGCGGGCGAAGGGGCCGCAATGGACTGTGCATCAGAATGATTCCTTGATCATGTACTGTTGTTGTTTCACGCTAGGATGTCGTATACATGTCTCACTTAACTACCATTTGGCTCAAGGAAAACCAGGTGCGACTTGTTGGTAGTTCTCGGTCGTTTACCTGTATCTACAGGTTATCAGCCGTATCGCCATAAGTGCGGTACGTGCTTTCTACTAGCTGTGGTCTCACCCCACCCTAGGTAGTGCACTATCTAGAGGCCATGGCTGATGATGATGGTTCCCGTGGTGACCGCTCACGATCAGGCTACGTTCCTACTTCGCCTGCGATGTCCAGTTCACCTGCTGCTGATCTCCCTGTTGTTCCGCTGGAGTTGCGTGTACCAATTGCGCCACCGACGTTCAGTGCACAGGGGGACCTGTTGCCTAGTGGTCAAGCACCGTCGCCGTTTCAGCCTGAGTTTTCTCCTGTGATGAATGTCCAGAACGTTGATGCAAGACA